GTCTCTCGTCAAACATCCGGCCTGCTTCGTTTCTATGAACTTTTTTTAATAACACGTCTACCTGCAGAGAAGTACAAATGGAGGTAAGCGCTTCGACTTGCCTTTTAGATATCTTGGTTTTTAAAAAAAAAGAAGAGGAATAAATTTAAAGGCTAAAACCGCAATTCCCCACTGTTAGGACCTGGAGGTGATAAGGACGATAAATGACAAAATCAAAAAGGAAGAGCAAATGCGGCAGGCTGCCGTAAGGCTCAAGTCTAACAGCGACAACCCTGCCGTTCGCACACAATGCGAGCAGAGTATAATGGTTATGCAGAGAAACATAGATTATCTGAGAAGCGAGCTTGAAAAAGTTCAGCTCAAGCATCAAAATCTTTCAACGTCAGGAATTCCTCCACATCCGAACCAGGGCCAAAACATGCCTGTTCAATCACATCGAGGAGTGGACCCAAATGCAACGCAGGACAACAATGGGGCTAATTCACGTAAACCAGTGCTGTCGAATTTAGGTGAAATGACGAATTCTCTCGTTTCCGAGTTTAATGGATACGTGTTTATAATCTTGCTAATTATATCGTTAATTTTGTGGGTTATCTTTTGTAGATCTTATTAAATCCGATACGCCTATGACTACACAAAAAGTATCACTCAAATTACATGAACTCGAATTTAAGCTTGGCGTAGAGAGAAAGTTGATGGAGGGATCTCAAAAGATGGCAAATGCCGTGGTATTTCAAGATCCTAAAAATAAAAAGAGTATTGCTGAAGTGGCTGGCAAGATGATCGAGAGTAAAGAGAAGATTTCACTATTATCGAGGTCGCTTAATAACTATAAAAAGCTGTATATTACCGGAATTAATGACGAAGATGGTGAGCTTTTGTTGTAATTGTTTGCTGTTGCTGTCCGTTACATATGTCCTTGATCTATCGATTTACTGTGGGAAAAAAAAACTTGTCAAATACAGAAACATCGAACGATGATAATGATATTTATCGTCTTACGCCTGGACTTCGCCGTCGAATGACGGGTAAACTTGATATACGAATATATCA